TATGGAACCAATCTGGATGCCCTTCAGTAGATGAATGAATAAAGAAACTATGGTGAATAAACACAATGGCATATTATTCAGCATTAAAACAGAATAAAATCATGAAATTTTCAGATAAATGGATGGATTTGGAGAATACAATGCTCAGTGAAGTAACCCATTCCCAAAAAAACCTAAGGCGAAATATTTTCTCTCATATTTGGATGCTGATCCATATTGGGGGGGGGTGCTTATTGGAGGAATGGAGGAACTTCGGATAGGGCAAAGGAAAGAAAAGGGAAGGGAAGGGTTATAAGTATAGGACTGATGATGCAATAAGATGGACATCATTACCCTAGGTACATGTATGATGACACAAATGGTGTGAATCTACTTTAAGTACAAGTACAGAAATGGAAACTTGCACTCCATTTGTGTATTATATAGTGAAATGCATTCTGCTGTCATGCATAACTAATTAGAACAAATAAATTAAATTAAAAAAAAGGAATGAAGTACTCCCACATGCTGTAGGATACAAGAATTTGAAAAAACAATGATAAATGAAAGAAGTCAGACATGACTTTTAGGATTCCATTAGTAGAAAATTCACAGTATCAGCAAATCTATAGAGTCAGAAAATAGATTCATGGTTGCTTAGACCTGGAAAATAGAGAGTTAATAATGAAATTATAGCCTGCTTCTGAGTTGATAAATGGTCACTAGTGATGGCTCCATATATCTTTGTACTGAAAACCATTTAATTGTATAAGTGGGGGTAATACAAAGGTATATTAATTATGTATCAATAACCCTCTTATTTAAAAGAGAATGAATGAATAACATGGTAGTTCACATACTTATTGAGAAGAACAAAGATTCAAAGAAATCACATCTTAAGAGCTTCTTGACTTTCTCCACAAAAGGATCTTGTGGGTTGTTGAGGGAATCAATATTCACTCCAAATGATGTAGCAGTGATCACATCCATGCTGTAGGCCCCAAAGATGCTAAATAAAAAATGACATGGAAAGTTAAAACCAGTGCCTCTTCCCAATCCTTCCACTACACATGCAGCAAGAAGTAGTAGTAAGTTCATGTGCCCAAGGAAGACAAACAGAGAGCCCCACATTGTCAACAGTTATCTGCTAGACCATCAGATAAGTCTATGATCCTTTCACACTGACCATGAGTTCTTTGAGTTTAAAATGAGGTACTACCGTTGTTCCAGAATTGATAGGAACAGTGAGGTGAAGTAGACTCCCCTCTGAACTCAAGAATTTCACCCACACAGGTATAAGATTCATAATCAGACATACTACAGTAGCACAAATAAAATGTAGATGATGACAATTGTGTGCAAACTGAGCTTCAGCAGGACAAGGGTGGAATAACTGAATCTTCCTAGAGGGCTCAAAAAGGTGACCATGACCTTGACAGTATTTTGTCTTCTAGTATATCCAAAGTCATAAACAGTATCCAAACAAACCTTGGTGGATACAGGAGAGAAACTTTCTCCCCCAGCTGCTCTGTCTCCCTCTGGGAGCAGCCCTTTCTTGGATGAAAAGTTGGAGTTGTGACTCCAAACTTGCTTTTGTCTGCTAATTATATTAGCTCAAAATTAGGATTCAGTTCTGTGGCAGGCAGTTGAAGGGGCTCCTGCTGGAGCTTGGAATGCCAGAGCTGCCCTGCTACTTACTCTTTCAAGTTGATAAACTTGCCCTTCTCTGATTCCAGTCTCATGTTTTTCACCAGCACATCTCCATACTGGTTAATGATGGGAAACATCTATGAACAAAACACAAGATCACCCATAGTTAACTGAGAAACTCAGTCCCCAAGGCTATGGTTTACCCAGGATGAAGAAGTATGGGACATTTATAATGAATCTTACTACATCTCTTCTAAAACATAAAAGAACACTTTTAGGAAGTTCAAATTCAGAGAACCATCCCTTTAAAAAGCCTTTAAAAGGGACTACTATCTACCTCATTTTCTACACATCCCCAGATTTACTCCCTATGTTTTTAATGAAAATCCCTCCTTACCTCCTTGAGTTTTCCACTGGTGAAGGTTGGAGACAGGAGTGTTCTCAGTCTCTTCCACTCTTCATCCTCTGACAAGGAGATGGCTTTTTTCATAAATCCCACTGGACCACGAACCTAGAGCCCAGAGAAAAGAGATTTTGTCCTACATAAATGTGAAGGTCTCCACAGTTGCAAAAGTTGTTAAATAAGTATCATTTATTTAAAAAAAATGCTTAATGACTACATACTAGGTATCAAGGCCTATTTTAGACACTCAATAATATCTATTTCAAGAGCCTAACCTCCTGAGAGTTTGGAAGAGACACTCAGGGACCTCACATTGTTTTTAGATTTTTATATTCCAACCTTTATTTAGATGCAAAATTTCTACTTGGTTGGAAACTTTTTCCAGGGGAATAGATGGAAAGAAGACCTAAGAGGACCTAGTACAACCTCCAGGGCTATGCAGAGCAGAAATCAATTGGTGACAGATACTAGATGTTCTTTGTCAACTGTATGTTACCTATGATAAGTTCTGTCTTTACATGCATTTATAGCATAAGCATCTTGATAAAGGGGTCCCTAGGAATTATAATTTTAAAAATAATAATATTGAAACAAAAAATTTAAAATACAAGTGTAAAAAAGGAAAAAAAAACACAAGTTTTTAATGGAAGTTCTTTCAATATTTTCTAAAAGGGCAGAGAATAAAAGAAAGATAATTCTATTTTTCACCTGGGTGCTAGACTACCTAAGTAAAACCCTTGAAATTTAGTTCCATTATCTAAAATATACTTTTGTGTTAAAATGTATGCTTCCATCCAGGCACAGTGGTGCATGCCTGTAATCCCAGTAGCTCAGGAGTCTGAGACAGGAGGATCACAAGTTCAAAGCCAGCCTCAGCAATGGTGAGGTGCTAAACAACTCAGTGAGACCCTGTCTCTAAATAAAGTACAACATAGGACCAGGATATTGGCTCAGTGATCTAGTGTCCCTGAGTTCAATCTCCAGTACCCCACCACCTCCAAAAATTGTATGCTTCCAGCTCTTATTCACTGTAAACATTTAGGGGATTAGGAGCAGAGGGAAGCTTCTTCAACTTGACAGAGATTCTACAAAAAAACATTTTTAGCTAGCAGTATACTTACTGGTGGCAAACTGAATGCTTTCTCACAAGCAACAGGAATAATTCAACAATGTCTGCACAGTCATATACAGAAAGACAAGAAAAAAACATTCATCTGAGTGTAGATTAGTGATTTCTACATGCTGGGAAGGGGTATGTAGAAGGCAAGTAAATAGAGGCTGGATTTGAGCAGTGTGCAATATATGCATGTATTGAAGATCACAGAAAATCCGAATATCATGCACAATAATCATACATTAATCAAAGTTTTTAAATTTTGCATTGAAACCCAGGCCCTGTGCCTGTGAGGCAAGCATTCTACCAACTGAGCTATATCCCTAGCCTCCGAAGTTTTTAAAAAGTGAAGATAGAGATTGTATGGGAATACAAACACACACACACACACACACACACACACACACACACACTAGACTCATCTAAAATTGGGGTAAACTTTGGAAGATTAAAGTCTATATCCTTCAAATGTTCACTCTCCTGGCTCTTATTCAACTTCACACTGGAACTCCCAGCTGATGTCAGAGGAAAAGAAAAACAAATAGGTAAAAGGAATACAGATAGAATTTTCCCTATTTATAGGTGCAATCTTTGTCCAATGTGGTCACCACACAAGAAGTCAGGCACATTTCTAAGCATAATAAAGAATTGGTGAAAACAGATTAAAAACATAATCTAAATCTACACAAATGTAGGCATGTGATTCATTTGGACAGAGCTGCACACTCATTCATATAGGCACAAAAAATAGGAAAATGAAAATAAAAAGCCTAGATTGTATAGATTCCTGTTACTATAGGAACAAGAACTCAATAAATTTATAGTCATGTAAGAAATTATCATTGGTTAAAGAAGAATAAATTCTACATGAAAGTTTCTGGTAATTTTTTTGGCAAGAAATGTTCTCTGAATTTGTAAATATCTCAGAATAAAAATTGAGTTAATAAATTAAATAAATAAATGTTACTTTGGATTAGACAAAGGGGAAAAAAAGAAAGGATGATGGGATGGAAATAGAAAATACTGTAGAATTAATCAGACATAACTTTCCTATGTTCATATATGAATACACAACTAGTGAAAGTCCACATTTTGAACAAAAACAAGGATGGAAGTTGTACTTTATGTATGTATAATATGTCAAATACATTCTAGAGTCATGTATAACTGAAAAGAACAAATAAAAACTTAAAGATAACTAAATAAATATTATAATGTTGAAAAGTGAGTACTTACCCGCCGGTTGGTGAAGACAGAATAACATTCTTTGATGAGCACTGTTTTGATAATGCTGGGCTCTGTAGTAGCCAAAACAGGTTGTGAACCATCAAACAGGCTGTGTTGGGAAAGCAAGGCTGATTAAATTTAAGAGGCCTGATTCTGTAGCAGGAATCCAGACTTTGATCCTGATGTTATCTATTCTACCTGGCTACTCCTACAATACATAGGAACATGAAGTTCTGGTTGGGGATTCTACCACAGAAACCACTGAAGTCTTCATAGCATAAAGGGTAATGTAGGTAAAATAGGGGTAGGAAAAAAAACTTAGAGACAAAATACACCTTCTAAGAGATCATAATTAGAAATAGCATTGGAACACTTGTTAAATCTAGATGGTGAATACAATAGTATTGCTTATACTACTTTCCATAACTTATTTATTTATTTGTTTATTTACTTGTTTACTTATTTTTGTAATTACAGGTGGACAGAAGCCTTTATTTGTTTATTTTTATGTGGTGATAAGGATCAAACCCAATGCTTCACATGTGCTAGTCAAGCACTCTACCACTGAACTACAGCCTTAGCCCAAGTCTCCAAAACTTTTTACATGTAAAGATATAGGTTTGTGAAAAATTGAAGGCACATAATTGACTAACTCCTCACAATTAATAAGTTTTGCAAGTGGTAGCTGAAATGGGGGCTTTGGAGATCCAGTGGGGCATGTTGTGTCCTTGGATCACATGGTGTCTATGGGCCATGTCAACTGAGCAGAACACTCTGGGCCAGCCCTGTGGCTTTCTGTGGATTGATGAGAGAAGAAGAGTCAATGTCTTCGACCACTATTTTTACTGTAGAGCAAAATGATTACACCTCATCTATGCCTCCCACCAAACACCCACCAGCTCTGAAAGGGAATAGTTTCTACAGTTAGCTGAGGCCACTCTCCAATATAAACCCCATAAATCCACCAGGGAACTCACTGGTGGAACTACATTCTATGTCTGGTCTTAATATCAAATAGATGAAGGAGAGAAAGAAATGCTTCATTGAAAAGTCAACACTGAAAACTTAAAAATGGCATATGAGCAACAATGATTGTGACAATTAAAAAGAATAAAGAAAGTAAAGGAAATGAAAAGCTGAGCAGAAATGGTTTTCCATCTGCTTTAGAGTACCTCCAAGCCTTTTGTTCAAAAGCATACATTGAATCTGAAATTTAAGTAAGGGAATTTTGCCTTTAAAAGGAAATCAGTGGAGGAAAGAGATGATGCTTTAGATTTATAAGCCCATGATTTTTTTGAAAGAATAAGTTCTCAAATAATACATTTTATTCCTATAAAGGTGTCAAAAAGAAAGAAAATGGGGAAGATAGGAATAGCCAGACATTGGACACAAAGTAAGGCTGGAGACTCTGGGTAATCAAAAGCAAGAGAAAAGCCAAAACATGCAACATTCTCAACCTAAGTCAGACTGTAGACCCAGACTCCTAGTGACATGCAGAACCTTTGACAGGAAAACCCTCCAAGGATTTTGCAGCACAGAAGGTTGAATCCCAAATGTTCTGGGCTGAGGTTGTTCTCACGCAATGGGGAACCACATCATATCAAGTCTATCAAAGAGAAATTTCCAGAATACTCACCCCCACGTTTTTCCATACTTTTTATAACATTCTGTGTCAAAATAAGACAAACCCTAGGAAGAAGAACAAAATGAAATTACATTATTGTTGCAAATGTACTGACATTCCATCAAATGACCCAAATCCCATGAAATCAGGCTTGCTGTTCCTCATAGGTGGTTAGAGAGAAGCTCTTATTCAGAGGCTTCTGAGAAGAAAAGAGAAAATATGCAATATTTGAAATAAAATATGTAAAGTTACTTGAATTTTCTATAACTATTATACATAATCAACAATTCCCCTTGTTTATGAATACAACATGCTTCTCTTCTGCAGTATTACTTTGTCTGCTTGTGTTTTCTCAGAAATACTGGGGCCTTCTGAATTATCACCTCCATAGGCACACGAGGAAATCCAGAGTGAGAGAAAATGAGTGTTTCCCAGGGCCATGCATGATCTTTTATCTCCTCATCAAGTATCATTTTAATTTATCTCATGTTTTGTGGTAGAATTCTGTTAAAATTAGGGAGTAAAGACACAAGAAACCTCTTCTAGCCTAGGAAATTTATATTGTCACAATCATGTTGTTGAGTAAGTAAGTGACATAGTGAGCAAATAAAAGTGGACTTGCCTTCCTGTGCTGGAGCTCAACTTAGAAAAAGTGAGATGCTACCTCTCTGCACATAAGACACAGATAGTTAGACACTGGCTGTGGGTTTTCATCATAAAAGCTAAGCAATTAATCTTCCTCATACTAAGTTTCATTTGTAATATTTTAACTGTGCAAATAAAGCATTCCAGAGATATGAGTGTACCTTCCCAGAATCTGCACTGAGAAAAACAGAAAAACTCTGTGAGAATGATCATAGTCTGAACATAAAGTCCACAGCTTACATTGTTGATGTGCCAGAGTCCTGAGCTCATCAACAGAAGTGAACCTGAAATTATGAGGAGTTGTAAACAGAGCCTCAGAGTAAACCTGACTGTGCTTTGGATGGGGCCCTCACACAGTTTCTGAAGCTTAAAATCTCAAAACTTCTCTCACAGAGCTAAATTTCTACTGATGTAACTAAGCAGGTGTTTGCAACCAAAAGAGGCAAAACAGGGAGCTCAAATGACACTCACCCGGCGATAATTAAGAAGAGTTCCCAAAAAAGGCAGAGGTGTTGGCCCTGGAATTCCCAGCTTCTTAAAATATCTATGTGAATAGGTCCCATATCTATAAAGTGGAAGAGAAATCCAGGTCAAGGGATTGTAACTGTGTGTATATAGTGGCTCACGAGTCACTGATCAAGAATAGGAACAGTGAAGCCAGGCAGGTAACAGGTAGGCCCTAAATAATAAAAACAAAAACAAAAAACAAAACAAACTCCAATGGCTCTAATTACATATGCTCATCATCTCCTCTCTCACATTCCCTGAGAGACCACAAAAGTCATAATAATTAGCTCAAAGCAGCTGATTATTGTTGAGTTCCATCATTAGGCTCCCAATGCTATAGTGAATATCTGATATAAGTCCCCAAACATGAGTTTGAAAATTCCTGAGCCATTCAGACTAGATTTCTTCCAGGTCACTTCACTCACTGCTGTCAATTTATAAAGTTGACTTGATGCCATCATGTTTGCCCCTCTAGTGGCCTCCAGTGGCGGCCATCCCCACTCTGGGACTTCTTAACTAATCAAACAGGAGTATTCTCCCACTTTTTTGTAACTCCTATATGGATGCCTTTTATTGCATCCCTGGTCCACATTCTCTGTTACTCATCTGCTGTAAGAGATTAAGAACACTGGTATATGGGAAACTGTTGAGTAAGAATAACCTGCTGGGCAGCTATATTTAAAGACATGTGCAATCTACGTCATGGTCATATGTATTAGATTAATATTCCTTCAATTGTTGAAAAAAATGAGGCCATTTTTAAACAGGTTGTTTTTCACAAATACAAAATCCAAGGGTCCTATTTTGACCTTCAGAATGAACATGAAGAAATTACCTCAAAGAAATTGTAATGTTGAACAGAATAAATTTAAAACATTTTCATTAATTTTACAATGCCACTGGAGGGAAAATAGATGCAAGAAAAGCCTGAATATTACCCTTTACTTCAATTGTTACAACCAGGTTTATATTTTCTATTTTCATATCATTATGAATACCTACTCTTGTAAAAGGGGATTTAAGATAGAAGTCAAAGGTCTCCTTGGGGCAATGTCTTCTACCCTCAATCAGAAATAACTGCTCTCTTCCCATGCTCCATTAAACCAGGAATCCCTCCATTTTAAAAAATATTTTTATAGTTGTAGGTGGACACAATACCTTTATTTATTTATTTTTATCTGGTGTTGAGGATTGAACCCAGTGCCTCACACATGCCAGATGAGCTCTCTACCACTGAGCCATAACCACAGCCCAGGAATTCCACTATTTAAAGGAATTCTTCTACTAGATGGTTTTATTCATGCTCCTGTACTGGAATTTCATAAGCAAATATTTAAAATACAAAAAGGGCTTGGAAACTTGTGTCTCTTGATGCTGTATTTAGATTTCAAATCAAGGGAGAAACAAATCTCTACACTGATGCTAACTTAAGGAATAAAAGTTCCAAATTTCTCCCAGGTCTTTGCTCAATATTTTAATCATTCAGCAGTAGTTGCATATTGCAGTGTGGAGCATTTGAGGTTTTGGAGGAGGGCTATTCTAGAGAAAGGGAAGATAACAGAGGGAAGTACTAGTCTGAGCCTGTCTTAGCACCTGAGCTGCACTTCATGCATTTTACAAATGGTGCTGGGATGTGGGAGGAGGAGCAAGAACCACCTGTTCCACAGGAGACAAGCCTCCTATATGTCTCTTCTAGTGCACATAGAACACAAAAGATAAACAATGACAGAGAAAGTTGTGAAGACCCCTCTTTACCCCCAGAATTCTGAAAGTTTACAAAGGGTGCATCACTTTTCCAAAGGTGTCCAATTGTTTGTAATCTGTATCTACTGAACTCTTCTGGTTGATTAATCTAGGTTCAAACTGAGACTCACTCTGAAGTTCACCCTCCAGATCAAATCATATCACTAAACCTCCTAGTCACAGAAATTGGAGGTTTCAATAGGAGAAAAACCGGGACAGTTACTCACAGATAGAGGAGCACCAGGATGATTCCCAAGAGAACCCAGGTTTCCATGGAATAGTTTGGGATCAGGTCCATCACTACTGTCCTTCCAGATATGTGATCTATAAGTGCCAAGCTTGCCTTCTGTGAGCAGCTGTGATTCAATGACGTTAAACTGGCATATTTACATGCTGGGAAAGGAGGTGGGTCTGGGTGTTCAACCAATAGAAAAAACTATCTGTGCTACACCCATTATTGCAGAAGCCAGGTGCCCCCTCCACCTTGGCAGTTGGAAGTATGATATAGAGACATGCCTATTTTAATCTTTGAGCTCAGATTTTATAAAAAATTATCTATAAAAACTTCGATGGGGCTGGGGTTGTGGCTCAGTGATAGATTGCTCACCTAGCATATGTGAAGCACTGGGTTCAAACTTTAGGACCATATAAAAATGAAATAAAGATATTATGTCCACCTACAATTATAAAATAAATATTTTTTAAAACTTCAATCAATGTAATCATTATGCCCAAAGGTAATTGCTTCTTATCAGAAACTCAAGTGAAACATTAGAATTAAATGTCCTCTACTCAGTTTTTGTCTCCATGAGTGTTTTCATTACAAAATCTTTGAATTCCACCCAAAAAATTATATCTAAATAACTACTCATGAACTTTCCTCTTCTTTCAATGCCCTCATGCCCCATAGAAGACTTTTTAAAAAAATATTTTTTAGTTGTTGATGGCATTTATTTATTTATTTCTATGCAGTGCTGAGAATCAAACCCAGGGTCTCACACATGCTAGGCAAGCACTGTACCACTCAGCTCCAGCCCCAGCCCAGAAGACTCTTAATCATCCTTCAAAACCCACCTCAGTCAAAATTTCTTCTGGTAAAGGCTTTCAACACCACCTTTTCACACGGAGCCACATCCTCCCCTGGACAACTTCTAGTATACCTGGAACACATTTCTCTTGTTGTTGTTCTCTTAAATGTCCTACAGCATAATTGGATTTCACTTTTGTTTAACTTTCCAGAATGTGAACTTCTCTGAAGCAGGATCTGTGTACTATCCACTATTATGCCCCTAGTCCCTAGCAGAGTTCTTTACAAAGAGCTGGTATCTGGGACATTTGGTCATTGAGTCAGGTAATATTGCTGAGTCTCTGCAAGTTCTTTCCCTGGGAGTTTCTGGTGACCATTTCATCTTCCTGGTTTATTAATACAGAAAGATGATTTGGCTTGTTTGGGCCACAGCCAACTTTCCAGCACATTCAGGCTGTGTGCCAGTACCGTGATGGCTAGAAGTCCATTAAAAAAATTGGGATGAACAACATGACACTGATGGATGCAATGACTAATGTCAATCCATGCTACTTCCTGTGAAGCCAGTAAGAGATCCCTGAAATAGCCAGCATGTAGATTTTTGAGCAAAAAATAGCCTCTGCCTCTGGAAATAATGCATGTCCCTGACCAATGGGTGTGAAAGGAAGAAGAAAACAGCATCCTGCATGGCCAAATGAACCACAAATATCTACCCACCAATCTCATTGCAGATATCACTACAAAGAGCACATAAAGCACCCAGAACTCCAAAAAGATGATCCCAGATTTTTTATTAGGCCAAGAGGTGTCTGAACAGGTGGCTTCCTGCTTTTTGGTAAATGGGTGGTTGTGGGTGGAGAGCAGACCTTGGGAGCTGGGAAGAGGAGGCTTGTAAGAACAATTGTCACTTGTGAGATTCTCAACATATTCCTGATTCGAGTGATGCCATGTCTGAGTGTTTGGAAATTATACCAGTTCATTATCTCAAGACTGAGTCAAATTCTTTGTCTGATTAGCCTGAGAAATGAAGGATTAGGTAACAAAGTCTCCAAGTTCTCAAAACATAACAGAATGAGAAGACATTCAAGTCTTGTGTGCTTCCTTCTCTCTTTCTTCTTACTCTGCACCAACTGATACTCACCCTTCACCAAACCCTTCCAACATCTCTGGCATGCATTCAAACAAGGAGAGATTACAGTGTCATTTGATAAATATTGACAATTAACAGGCTTCAAACAGACTGAATTTGGAGGCACCCCATCTGAAATTGGGAATGACTTCCTCATGCTGAGAGTAGGAGTTGGAGGGCCATGGAGCTTCCACCTCCCACCCTGACAGTCACCAAAGAAAATGGAAATGAAAATTTCCTTCTTTCTGGGACAATACAGACTAACTAAATCTGCATCTTTGTATTTCCTTCTTTTTTTTCCAGATTGCTCCCTCTTCACATCAACCAAATATACACATGTCTATCACCTGGCTTTTGTTTCTGTAAATTATAATTGTGTCTGTGGGATAGGTAAAGAGAAGAAATCTAACTGCTTCCTCTTGGGCTGATCAAACTGCATCAAGTTTAATACACATTTTTCCATCTTTTCTCTATTTATCATGTGGGAAAACAGCTAAATCCAGTCAGCAAGGATCAAGGTAGCTCCCAGGGTTAGGCTGTCAGTAACAATTTTACCATAACACAAAATCTTTTTTATATTTTCTGTATATAAAACCTCTATGGAACTAATTTAATTTCATCTTCCTTCAAATAATCTATTTGGCCATTATGATGAAATAACCAGGGCTATTGTGATTTTCCCCCTGTCTTTCATAGCTCTGATCCTGGTTGGACTGGTTGGGATTTGTAGCAACAAGAATGGGTTAGTCATTCCTTGAGATGAAAAACGCATCCAGTGCTGGGCCCCAACCTATGCAAAGGTTCTTGTTCTGCAAAGAGCAAGGCAGGGTGGCAGACATCTGTAGTCCCAGCTTTTCAAGGATTCCTTGAGCCCTGAATTCAAGGAAAGCCAGGCAACATAGGGAAAAGTCATCAGACAGAGAGAGAGAGAGAGAGAGAGAGAGAGAGAGAGAGAGAGAGAGAGAGAGAAGAAAGAGAGAGAGAGGTCTTCACTTGCCAGATACAAATATATACCCAAGCCATGCCCCCAATGAATCACTTCCTCCAGTCCCACTCCACATTCCTACAGTTCCCACTCAGTTAATCCAATCAGGGACTAATTCACTGATTAGGTTAAGACTATGCTATATAACCCAATCATTTATCCTCCATACCTTCTTACATTATCTCACACCTCAACCTTTGGGGAACACTACACACCCAAACCATAACAGAGAACATCATACAAAGTAAGATAAGCCAGATTCTGAAAGTGAAGGGTTTTATGTATTTTATAATATGTGGAAGCTAGAGAGAAACAAGGAAAAAAGGGGAACTCAGGTAAACAGAAGAGGGACCAGTAGAGAAATGGAAATGGTGGGGGAAAAGGGAGAGCAAAGGGAGGGATTTGAGAATGAAATAGACAATGTATGCTATGTGCGTATATGAATATAACACAACAAAAATCACTCATCTATCTAATTATAATGCACAAATAAAAATTTAAAGCCACAAGAGAAAAAAACTGAGAAATATTAAATAAAGACGGGAAGATATATTTGGACTCACAGTTTAAGAGATTTCAGTCCATAATCACTTGGATCCATTGATTCTGGGCTGTGGTGAGGCAAATTGCCATGGCACAAGTGCACCATGACACAAAGTTGCTTCCCTCATGATGACTGGGAAGCATAAGGAGGGCAAGGTAGGGGCCAGGGATTTGATAAGCTCTTCCAGGATATGCACCCAGTGACCTAACTCCAACTAGGCCCTTGGCACTGTCCTCTCTACCACGTTCTGATAATGCCATAAAATTGTGAATCCATCTATGGATCATTCACGGATGAGATTAGGGAAGCTCATGATCAAATCACCTACCCAAAATCTCCACTTCTGCACATTGCTGCATTGGGAACCAAACTGTTAACCCTTGAGCCTTTGGGAACATTCCAGAGTCAAACCATATCATGATATTTCCTTTATCCCTTAACTCCCTCTCACTTTGTAAGTTATGAAAGCAGAATACACAGGACTTGAGGGGTTGGTTGTGTGAGAACTTGTGTATGCTAAGCTCTAATTACTCATCTGACTGCAGAAGGGGCTCAGTAAATATCCTTCAAAACACAGGACCCCAAGGATTACCTGCCTCTCATTACTTCTATGATTCTCTTGTATTTTCATAAACATGCCACCTCCACATTATTCTCTTTATCTTGCATATCACTGAGAGTCCCCCAGAGCCTCCAGTCCAGCCAGCAACCAAGAACTACTGAGGAAAGGATGAAACACAAAGACAACAGAATAGACTTGACCTTGAAAAAGACATCTGCCAAGGATGTCCTAGCTTTAAAATTCTAAACTGGTTTCTCAATTAGGAGTACAGGGTAAAGGGAATCATACACATGCACACAAACACATATTTGCCCACAAACACAAATGCATGTGTGTATACACACACACACACACACACACACACACACACACACACACACACACACCAATTTGGGGGTTTTTTTACTAGCAGTGATTGAACCTAAGGTTGCTTAAACATCCAGCCACATCCCCAGCACATTTTATATTTTTTATTTTGAGGCGAGCTCTCACTATGTTGCTTACAGCCTTGCTAAATTGCTGAATCTGCATTTAAACCTTCAAACACATTATCCTCCTGCCTTATCCTCCAGAGCCCCTGGGATTACACGTGTGCATCACTGTGCCCAACACACACACAGAATGTACCTCAAGCAATAATAGTGTTACTGAAAGCTCAGTCTTGTCCCTGGTGTCAATTCAATAAAAGGAATGGTTTTGAGAAAAGGAGAAAGTTTTATTATTCTACTGGGGAAGGAGAAGCACAGGGGACTCCTGTCCCAGAGGCTGTGATTCTGCCCATCAGGTAGAACAGAGGGTTTGGCGGGTTTTTTGTTTGTTTGCTTTTGGTTTTTGTTTTGTGTAGTGGTAGATGGACAGAATGCCTTTATTTTATGTGTTTATTTTTATGTGGTGGTAATAACTGAATGCAGTGCCTCATAAATGCTAGGCAAGTGCTCTGACTCAACCCAACAACAGAGGGTTTTTAAAGACATAATACACTCCAGGTGTTCCCTGTGAGAGGTTTGATTCACCTGTTAATTTGGGAGATAGCCATTCTTATGGCACCAGT